ATCCCTAAAACAAAAAAAAAAAAAAAAAAAAAACCCAAAAAACAAAAAACCAACAACAAAAAGTAGTACACAACAGATCACACATCCAAATGCAAAACATAAAGCTATAAAGCCTCTGTGAGAAAACCTGCATGACCGTTTGGCAATGAATTTTTAGATTTAACATCAAAAGCCCAACCACTTTAAGTAACAAAAGATAAAGTGGACTTTTTCAAAATTAAAAATGTTTAGCCAGTCATGGTAGCACACATCTATAAACTCTAGGAAGCAAAGCCAGAAAGACTGCCAGTTTGATCCCGGGAAGAGAATAGAAGGAAAAATGCGAACAAAGCTTTTGTAAATAAGGAGAGGAAAGGGAGCTGAAAGGAAGGGGGAAAAAGAAGCAGCAAGATGTATCGTGTACAGGTACAATACCATGTGATGATTGTTACATTATGTATATCTAAAATATACCAATAAACCTAAAAGAGAGAAAGAAAAAGAAAAATATATACAAAATTAAAAACAAAAAGAAACTATTAAAAAACAAAAATCAGGACCCCTCTGTAGGGACAGGATGTTTGGATAAAATGACTTGTTTCCAAAAAAGTTTTGCTTTTTGATACTGAAGATTGAACCTAGTATTTTTTTATTGAACTACTTTTCCAGCCCTTTTTAGATAGGGTCTCGCTAAGTTGTTAAGTAGCCCCCACTGGGCTCAAACTTGAAATCCTCCTACCTTAGCCTCCAAAGTGCTGGAATGACAGGTGTATACCAGCATGCTTTTATGTTACCCATTTGGTTGCCCTGTGTGACAGTTCACTGACTGTGTCATTTGAGTAAGGGAAGCTCAACTAAATTGGCTCAGCAATTCCACATCCTAGGGTGTGAAGACCCACCCTAGGGTGGCTTGTTGCCTGGATAGTTTAAAAGAAAAAATAAAGAAGGACAGATCTTTTTCTGTTTCTTTAATGGAGCTCCAGTCTTCACCTTCACCTTGGATGTCATCTCCTTCCAACCAGCAAAGATTCTTTAGCTTCTGACACAGATCCTTCAGCCTCCTGGCATAGACTGTTCAGCCTTCCATCACAGACCCATGAGCCTCCTCACATAGATTCCCACAGGACACTGCAATGAGCTCTAGACCTTCAACTAGATCCTTTAGTCTCCAGTGTACAGGAAGACTCTAAGGACTCCCACACTTGACTCTGTGGGTGGCCATTATAAGCCAATCTTGTAAATTCTTTTTTTTTTTTTTCTGTACCGGGGATTGAACTCAGGATCTTACGCTTGCCAGGCAGGCAGCAGAACCACTGAGCTAAATCCCTGGCCCTGTAAATTCTTATATATTTGTATATCTTGTGTTAAACAATGACTGATACACCTGTAAGGCTCCTGTGCTGACTAAGAAAGCAAAACCAACAGACTGTGCCTATCCAATTGACATCTTGTTCCCAAAGGTTATACTTTCTCTTATCATGGTTTAAATGTATTTAGACTTTTCTTATTTGTTACAGAGATTCCAATAAGCCTCATAACAGACACTAAAATAAAATTAAAATTAAAAACCCTGCCAGAGGATAAACAACCTACCTGTGACTCAATCATTTCTACTTTTTTTGGGAAACCTGATAATTTGTGACTTCTGTCTGTCCTGAGTCTGGAGAGAGCCCTCTATTAAAAGGTCTGGAAACTCAGATCCATTCTCATTCTTGAAGCCTTTTTGACATGCTGCATATGAACTGTCTTCTTCCTGAGAACAAGTACCTGTGGATGCAGCAGATATGCTATTTTAGATGATGTCATTCATTTAGGAACCTAAATCTTGTTTTTCTCTTCCTGATAACTCAGATCATTTAAAGACTAGCTGTTTGGTAGTCTTTAATAAGGCTTATTGGGTAAGAAACAGGAGTGAACATGACGTGTCTCACTGAGGCTGGCCATCACCGGACCACAGTTCTGGCTTCTACCCATGAATACCACATTGAAGCTTCTTACCTTACTGGTTCAAGAAAACACTCCTGGTGAGTACACAACTGCACTGAATTGCTCTGTAGAGACATCAAGAAACTCTGGAAACACAACTCATTCTTTCTGTAGCAATGATTCCTAGAGGCAGGAAATTACTAATTAATTGAAATTAAATCATTGGCATACATGATCTAAGCAATATAACTCATTCCTAGGCAGGATGATAAACATTAAATGATTATTAGATCAAGATGATTAATGAGCATGGCTGGTTGGCTCCCTACCCCTAAAGCAGACCTGGAACAAAAGGCAAACAGATCAGAAAACAAGTTGGATGAAAAAGAAAGAATCCTTAGGGAGACTGCAAGGTGTAGTGAAGTCTATATTGGGTCTGACATAGTTTCAGCCTATTGCAGGTGGTGTCCAGAGAAGACTATAAGACAGAGAGCTAAGGGGCCAGGGACTTTGTTTGGTGGTGTCTTGCCTGCCTCAATAGCAGAAGGTCCTGAGTTTGATCCTGGTATGGGGGCGGGTAGAAAAAGAGGGATAAGGTAATCTTTTATGTTGCTTCTAAGCTCACAATGGGACACATGCTGCCTGTACTTTCCCTAAGAAATCAACACTAATAGGCAGGCATGGTTGCACATAACTGTAACTACAGCTACTTGGAAGGCTGAAGCAAGAGGATTACAAATTCAAACAAGTCTGGGCAAGTTAGTAAGACCCTATCTCAAAGCAAAAATAAAAAGGCTGGGGATATAAATCAGTGGTAGAATGGTTGCCTAGCATGTTTGCACCCCTGCCTTCCACCTTTAATACTGAAAAAAGAAAAAAGAGAAAACAATATCAACATTTTAGCCCAGGCCATGTTCCCAAGGGGCACTTCAAAATCCTTGCTGAGTTAAGGAGCCAAGAAACAGCAAGGGCTATGTAGCTGCCTTTGGGCCTAGCCTGACCTCATGCCCACCTCCAATGTCTCAGGGCTAGTCAGTGGCCATCCAAGGAAACTCCTCTACCACCTGCTTCTCTCCAAGGACTTCCCATCCCTGATCAGAGGACAGAGGCAGTTTCCATATTCCTTATGGTCTACATTGTGAGCCTTGGGTTCAACTCCCCAGAAGTTTCAAAGATGAAGGTCTGGCCTTTAGCTGTTTGCTCCTTCCCACAGTGCACAATACCAGAGCACACGAGAGGGGAGCTAACACCCTCCAAGGTGTGTGAGCTCAGAGTTCTACAAGTGCAACAGCAAATTAAAAATAAGAAAACCCTAGAGGCCTGGGATTTAGCTCAGTGGCACCCTGCCACCTTGCAAGTGCAAGGTCCTGAGTTCAATCCTCGGTACCACAAAAATAAATAAATAAACCCTAATTTTCCCTCTTGCAAAAAAGAGAAAGACTCACCTCACTTCTTTTCAAAGTTCATCTACTTGACAAGCTTACAACTGTAAATTCTTTCTCTGTCCCTCGAGATATAATTTTTTTCTAAAGCTAAATAAGTAAGCCTTTTGGCAGTTTAATAACCAGGAGCAATTTTCTTCTCAAGAACCTGGGATCATCCTGGCTCCCTATTGCTCAGATTCTGTCAGAAGATGGGAGCCTAATTCCAGAGGCCCCTTGTTCTAACTTGTAAAATACCTGGTCACAAAGATGAGAAGCTTATTTTCCCTCTGGGTAAGGATAATTAGTAGTCAGTCAGTCAGTCAAGTTAGTCATTCGAATTAACTGGTGAATTTAAAATGAACTGTGTATGACGCATGCTGTTCAGTCCTCTTCCTTGAAGCCCTGTTACTGTTTTTTTTTGTTGTTTTTTTGTTTTTTTTTTTTTGAGAACATATGTGCAGTGGTATCTGCCTGGTTATAGAAAAAGGCCAGACAATAATGTGAGTACGGTCATTTAACAGAAGTTACCCTGCGAAAGGCTTACCTGAGCCTCATGTGACCAAACCCATCCATATCTGCCTCCACACCTACAACTCAGCCCTCCAGCTCTACATCCTTAGATCTCTCCAAGTCTTTAAAAGCAACCAGCCCCTTCACAAACCTCTAGACCTCATGACCACAGAAGCCCATAAGCACTGATTCACCCACCTTATGTGCCCTCATCACCCTCACAGAACTACTATTGTTGACTACACAGGTCCCTAGACTCTCCCTAACAGGCCACCCCTCCAGGGCCTTCAAGGACACATACTATGGGTTCCTCAATGACTCACACAGCAGAGGCCCCAGTCTCTGAATCTCAGTAGCTCTACAATAACTATCCTCCAGAAATACTCAACCATTGACTCTACAGATCTGCACAGTATTGGCCCTCATACTGCTTAGCACGGATACCCAGTGGTCACTGATTTCTGACTCCACAATCACTCATTGTCAATGGCAAACAAGTCACTGAAATCCAGGCTTCCTGCTCATCAACACCCACAGAACTCCTAAATTCTCACCATACTCACCCTACACCATCATATACAAGGATGGACATGTCAGCCATTCATCCTGCGGGGTACTGAAACATCAAACTCAGCAAACCCTACAATCATTTCTCCTCACAGACCCTCATTACTCACCCAATTACTCTCCAGTGCTCTGGTCACTAATATAAACATGCTCCTTATCACTCATCTACAACTCCAAATAACTCAACCCAAGCACAGGATATAGGTAAATGCAATCCAAAGTTTCTCCACACTCCACACCCCAATCAGTAATGTCACAGGACCCTTCATTTTTGGCCCTGCATGGGATCCACAGCCACAGAGTACCCATGGCCCACAAATACTCATCACTATTATCAGCCATTACTAAATCACAGCAGGCTGTCAGTCATTCAGTTCCATGGCAGCTGCAGGGTCATCCCTACAGGACCAATCCCTAGATACTCGCGTCACCAGCTTCCCCTAGGCCCCATTTAATAAACTCCACAAGGGCAGGGGATTTAGCTTAGCAGTGCTGCCGTCTGCCTCACAAGCACAAGATCCTGAGTTCAATCCCCAGTAAGAAAAAAAAAATTAAAAATAAACTCCACAAGTGCTGGGCATGGTGGTGCACACCTGTCATCCTAGCACCGAGGAGGCTGAGGCACGACTGCTAAGAGCCTGAGGCCAGTCTGGGGTATATAGTGAGTTCAAGGCCAGTGAACTACAT